GGGGGGGTCGGTCTCTTCTCCCAAGGAACAAGAGGAAACGGCCCCAAGTTGGGCCAGGGGAGGGTTGGGATGGAGAGTGGGGAAAATTCCTTCCTGGAAAGGGCTGTGAAGCCTTGGCAGAGGCTGCCCAGGGCAGTGGTGGAGTCACCATCCCTGGAGGGACTGAAAAGCCGGGCAGACGTGGTGCTGAGGGACACGGGTCAGTGGTGGGTTGGTCAGTGCTGGGTCCGTGGTGGGACTCCAGGAGATGGAAGGTCCCTTCCAACCTGGATCATTCCATGATTCTCTCTCTTACTCTCTTTTCTCCTTATACCCAGGGTTTTCTGATTCCGGGTACATTTTTAATTGCCCTTTGCTTTGTGCCCTGGGCTGACAGACGCTGACACACCAAGAGGAGATCAGTTTGGGCTTCACTCAAACGTGTCAATTAATTTCCTCCTTAGCAAGACCGATACCAAAATGAAACCATTCCATGTTGCTGTTACCAGCCTGGAAATCTTGTACCTCGTACGTCTGTAGGTCTCAGCTGAACGAATTTTGCCTTTCATTTAATTAAAAAGAATGTAGTTTTAGTGGAAGGGGAAAGCTGAAATTCTGGGTTTCTGAAAACCCAAGTGTTGAACAATCCTGAAAAATAATCCAATATTCTTACTTTTAAAATTCTTTTATTTCCAAGAAAACCAAGTTTACAGAACAGAAGTCCCAATTAATTTTTTTTTTTTAAGTAGTGCTTTGGGTTGGAAACTGCATTCCTAGGTGTCCTATCGAGTCCCACGTTGTCTTTTTCCTTGGGTGGGCAGGATTTGGGGCTGTTCTGCCGAGCCCCCTCCCGCTCCGTCGAGCCTAGTGCTTCACACCGCGCGTGCTGTGCTTGTCATTGCAGGCTTCTTCCCCAGCATATAGTGGCTCCAACCTGTATTCCCCGGATTCTTCAGCCAACTCCGGTCCCATTATCTCTGACGTGACCGAACTGGCCCAGTCCAGCCCCTCAGCATCTCCCAGCGGCAGCCTCGACGAAAGGTACGCTCCTGCTCTGGAGTGATCTGCACGGGGAGGGTGTTCCTCCATGAGCCGAGTGCTCAAACGCCGTTATAATGTGCCTCTTCTCTTGAAAATCACCCCTGAGAAACAGCTGGAAAACAGCAGAGCCCTTGGGACGGGTGACGTTCAGGGTGTTTGAGCTCTCTCAGTTGGAGAGACATGGATTTGACCGATGGAGCATTCGGTGGATAAGGAATTGGCTGGATGATTGCTCTCAAAGGCTCTGTGGGGACCTTGGAGCCCCTTCCAGTCCCTCAAGGGGCTCCAGGAAACCTGGGTAGGGACTCTGGATCAGGGAGGGGAGCCCTAGGACGAGGGGGAAGGGTTTTAAGGTGAAAAAGGGGAGATTGAGGTGAGATCTGGGGAGGAAATTCTTCCCCCTGAAGGTGGTGAGAGCCTGGCCCAGGTTGCCCCGAGAAGCTGTGGCTGCCCCATCCCTGGAGGGGTTCAAGGGCAGGTTGGAGGGGGCTTGGAGCAACCTGGGCTGGTGGGAGGTGTCCCTGCCCAGGGCAGAGGGGCTGGAACAAGATGGCCCTTAAGGTCCCTTCCAACCTAAACCATCCTGTGATTCAGACCCAGTTACTTTACCAGGACCTCACAGAAAGTTGGACCTGTCCCTCCAGGGCAATCTCCTTCAGGACACTGCCATCTCAGCAGGGTTTTGTTCATTTGGTTGGTTTTGTTCAATTTTAATCCTGTTTTCCAAACTACACTGGCTCCTCTACCTGCCCTGTCTGGTGTCAGCCTGTCTGGGGTTGGTGTCACAGTTTGGTTTCCAGAAGAAACCATCTTTGTTGGCCTGTCTGTGAGATTCCTTGCTCTGAAGGTGAAATTCCTGACGCCCCAGGAGCAGGGTGAGCTCTGCCCTGCCCTTACAAACCCAGCACCCAGCAGCCCTGTTCCCAGCTCCGTCAGCTTTCCCAGCGGAGATGAGAGCTGCCCTTGGATGCTGTAGGTGATGCTCAGCCTTGTGTGCCGCTGCCAAGGCCATTCTGCACCAGCCATCGCCCCTCACCACGTCCCTGGGGGTGGCATCAGCCCCATCCCACCGAGCATCAGCCTCTCTTGAGCTCCCTGACCCCCTCAATCTCTCCTCAGCACCTTGTGCTCTCCCAACTCCTTTTTTTCTCCCTCTTTAATAGGTTATTCCTGGCATCGGCGCTTCCCCTGAGGTGCTGAATCACCCACAAATGCCATTTATTGCCTTTAATACCCTCTGCCAGGAACACTCGCTCTCAAATAGAGACCATATGTTTGCTTAATGGCCCTTTTCCCTCTCCTTTTGTAGTCACTCTCCTTTCCAGCAGGACCCATTGCGCCTCTTACACCCCTGGAGCAGCCAGTTTGGGTGGGAAAATGAAGGGCTGACCAAAGAAACCATCTTCCCTGCCCATAAAACCAGTACGTCTGAAAATGCCCAGGTGCTTGTAGAAGAGGTTGGTCCCCCAAAGGGGTCAGTCCCCCCCAAAGGGGTCCATCCCCTGACCTTGTGGGAGCAGTTGGAGCCCTACAGCCCCTGCTGTGGTGATGATCACGCCTCTTACACCCCTGGAGCAGCCAGTTTGGGTGGGAAAATGAAGGGCTGACCAAAGAAACCATCTTCCCTGCCCATAAAACCAGTACGTCTGAAAATGCCCAGGTGCTTGTAGAAGAGGTTGGTCCCCCAAAGGGGTCAGTCCCCCCCAAAGGGGTCCATCCCCTGACCTTGTGGGAGCAGTTGGAGCCCTACAGCCCCTGCTGTGGTGATGATCATGTCATGAGCATCTCAGCAGCGGCTTTAAAAAAGGGTCTGTACCCTCTGCTGCTTCTGAACTATTTAAACTACGTCCACATCCAAAGCTGTATGGTTTTAACTGTGCTATTAAGGAAAAATCCTGCTTTCCCCCCCCTTCCTTCCAATAACCTCCCCCGATGGGAGCTGCCTTCGCGAAGAAACCATCTTCCCTGCCCATAAAACCAGTACGTCTGAAAATGCCCAGGTGCTTGTAGAAGAGGTTGGTCCCCCAAAGGGGTCAGTCCCCCCCAAAGGGGTCCATCCCCTGACCTTGTGGGAGCAGTTGGAGCCCTACAGCCCCTGCTGTGGTGATGATCATGTCATGAGCATCTCAGCAGCGGCTTTAAAAAAGGGTCTGTACCCTCTGCTGCTTCTGAACTATTTAAACTACGTCCACATCCAAAGCTGTATGGTTTTAACTGTGCCGTTAAGGAAAAATCCTCCTTTCCCCCCCCCTCCGTCCAATAACCTCCCCCGATGGGAGCTGCCTTCGCGCGGGGCCCTGGGCTGAGCAGCAGCAGGAACCTTTAGCCCCAGGAAATACGCTGAGGTTGCAGAAGATCGTTGATTTGTCAGGGGAGCTGATTAGGTCCGGAATTCGGAGCAGAAATATTTAGGTACTCGCTCAAACCTCGTCTTTGCACTGACTCTGGGGGCTTTGCAAGGGAAGAGGCAACAGCAGCCACCGGGGTTTTTTCCCCCTGTTGTGTGGGAGCGGTTATTAGAAATCCAGGATGAGCTACCAGGAGATTTTTACCATTTTTCCTTTTTTTTTTGTCTGGCAGGAGTAGCCCTGTGGTCCGTATCAAAGAAGAACCCCCTAGTCCCACCCGCAGCCCCCAGATCGAGGAGGCCAGCCCCGGAAACCCTCCCGCTGTGGAAACCCCCCTCTCCCCCTCCACCTTCATCGACTCCATCCTGCAGGAGAACGAGCCCGGCGCCGCCACCACCACCCAAACCACCACCACCACCACCCCCACGGCGGCGGCCGGCGACAGCACCGCGCAGCCTCAGCCCCCCGAAAAGTGCCTCAGCGTCGCCTGCCTCGACAAGTAAGTGCTGCGCTGAGACTCGTGTCGTGCCAGACGTCCCACCCCTCTCTACCCTTAAGCTTGAAATGGGGCCACCAACCTTCAGTTTTGGGGAGGGAGGGGGATGTGTGATCCTTTGTCCAAGGAGTCACAGAATCACAGAATCATCTTCTAGGTTGGAAGGGACCTCAAAGATCATCTTGTCCAACCGTCAACCTAACTG